AAATCACCCACCCAGAGATTGCGTGGCTCTAGGGTCCGGACAATTCTGTAGGCAGCAGAGACTCACTCAGCTACATCAAGCACGAGCTATTGGAAAGACCGGGAGGAGGCAAAGAACGAAGGAAGGGAAGTATCCCGACCTCACAACTTCTTTCTCAGCAGCATTTAAAATCCCAGGGTTTGCAACTGCAAGGGACCTTAGAGCGCTTCTCGTCCAACCCCTTATTTGGCAGATGAGGATGCTCGGGTTGAGAGAGGGGAAGAAATTGTCCAGAAGTGGCAGAGCTGGAACCAGATTCCTAGATCATGTCCTGACTGTATGGCATAGCAGGGAGAACTGGAAGGGACCCTAGAGATCCTAGTCCAACCCACTCATATGATGGATGGGGAAACTGAGGTTCAGAGGCAAAAGAGGAGGGAGAGAGGACGCATAGAGACAGACAGGGGGAGACAGAGAGATAGAAACAGAGTGACTCAGAGAGACAAAGAGAGAGTGGTACAGAGACGGGGGAGAGGGAGAGGGAAGAAAGGGGGAGAAAGAGGCTGGGGGAGACTCGCTTTACAGAGATAAAACAAGAGACAAGAGACGGGAGAGACAGAAAGAGAAACGGGAAATCACAAAGAGCAAATATCAGAGTGTGCTACATCCGGAGAGAGAGAGAGAGACTCCACAAGAAACCATTGACAGAAAAAGGTTTTTAAGAGACTGACCCTTAGAGATAGATTGGGGGAGGGGGTAGAGAAGGTCCCGAACTCCTCTTCCCAGCGGTCAGCTCACATCCCCATCCCCCTCCACCCCCAGCAGTAGAGGCAGAGAGCAGAGAACTCTGTAGAGACGCAGCCAACCCTCCAGATCCCCTTCTTCCCCCCTCCTGGAGCGCCGCGTACTTTCCGCAGGAGTTCCTGCCGCACGCAAACAGCTCGGAGTCCGGAGAAACAGCTGTCTAGGCGGAGGAGGAGGAAGAATAGGCGGGGGGTGGGGGTGGGGGTGGAGGTGCAAAGTCAGTGGCCAGCTAGGGGAGGAAGGAGAAGCGGCTGATAAAGCGGCGCCTTACCCCGCTAGGACATGGTCGTCGGCGGGGCCGAGGAGAGGCTGCATGGGGCTTACGGCTGGCGGCACACCGGGCCGCAAGAGCAGAGACCGGGCACAGGCACAGGCACAGGCGCGGAGCTGCCTCACATGGCGGGACTGGCCCTACGTCCAGGGCCGGGACCGGAGGAGCCGGGGCAGAAGAAACTGAGTCGTCTGAGCTCAGCGCCCTGCGTGACGGAGCTAAGCCACCAGCCAGCGGCCAGGGCTGGTCCCTCCTCTCCATTACCATATTAAACCAATCGCGCTCCCTAAGAGATGTCACCTCCCACGCGCTGGGCTGCCTGGCTGGGGAGGCGTCTGCAGGCGGTGAGGGAGCGAGCTAGGGAAGCAGCGAGGGAGCTAGGGAATCAGGGCTGAGGAGGGAGGGAGGGAGGAAAGAGCAGGACCGAGCCCCGGGAGCAGGAGGCTCCCCCCCTCCCTCCCCTCCCATCTCCTCTCCAACACCATCTCCCCAGGGCGCTGACCTTCCTCAAAGCCCCCTTGGCTACCTTCGGCGGCTCTCCCACCTTTCTAGGCTACTTACTACCTCTTAGCAAAGCTAGAAAGGAGGCTTCTGGAAAACCTAGAAAGAGAAAGCGAACCCGGGGCATTCTTTACTTTCAGACACTGGCTGGGGTATCTGAGGGATGTACGCCAAAGCGTACAACCACGGTATCTTGAATTTGGAGAGTTCTGGGGCTGCCGTATATTGGACACTCCGGTGACCTCTCCTCCCCCCAGTCAGCAGCGCCACCACCAAACCTTTCCCTATGCACAGGTACATAAGTCATGCTAATTCCCCCTCTCTTCCTTCACCTACCTACCTGCCACCGTCACTTCTGTGTCCCCCCCTTTCTGAGCCCTATTCCTCTGTGTTAAATAATACATCACACACACACACACACACACACACACACACACACACACACACACACACACACACACACTCCAATTCACTCCAGACAAAACTCCGAAGTACAAATGCTGGAAAAGCATGGGGCAGGCTAAAACAGGTCAGTCGATTATTATTACTGTATGATGATGATGATGATGATGATGACTGGCCTACTGTGTGCCAGGCACTGTGCTAAGAGCTGGACACTACAAATAAAGCTGGCTTGGATGGATTCCTAAGCTCTCCAAGCTTCGGACCCCCAGGTGTTTCTTTGTAACTAAGACTGCTGAATGTTGGCAGAAGTCCCAGCGACCATAGCTGGGAGTGGGAGGATGCTTTGGGTGACTCCACATAGTCTGTGGGCGTGTGTGTAGGGGGGAAGACAGAAGTTCATCTATAGACGCTGTCACTGCATCTTCCCATCATCAGCCACAGCAAAGCTGAGGAGGGCCCCCTCCACCCACTTCCACAGTCCCTGCTGGCCTTTTGTGTTCTATTTCACCTGACTTGACTGGATTTCACGGGGGGAGAGGGGGGAGTGTAGCGTGTTTAAGCCCTTATAGCGCCAGGGAGTGACATGACCCTTCTGAGTCAATCAGACATTCTCTTTTCCATGGCGAGGATGGGAGCAAGGATTCTTGATTTCTTCCCCCCCCCTTATCACTGAGCCTCATTTGTGAAGTGGAAGGATTGTATAAATAAAGGCGCAGACTCCAACTTTGCAGCACTCCGTGTTAAGAACAAAAAGTCCCGGAGGTAAGCTCAGGTGCGTATCTCCCCTGAACACTGATGTTTATGGATGTAGGGGACTCTAAGTGTGGAAATTCCCTTCACCAGTGAAACTCAGCGCATCAAGTATCCTGAATCCAAGACCTTCTAACTCCCAGACTGGTTCCTTACCCAGTACACCCACATCATCGTTCACTTGTTTCCCTCATCTCCTACTCTCCCTAACCCCATTTGAGGTTTTCTTGGCAAAGATACTGGAGTGGTTTGTCATTTCCTTGTCCAGCTCATTTTACATATGAGGAAACTGAGGCAAACAGGGTGAAGTGACTTGCCCAGGATTACACAGCTAGCGTCTGAGACCAGATTTGAACTCTCAAAGATGAGTCCAGGCACTCTACACACTATGGTGCCACCTAGCTGCTCTAAGATCCTTATTAGACTGCATTGATTAAACTCGGGTCTTCCTGATGATAAATGCAGCAACCTCTATCTGTGTATTATGTTCAATTCTGGATATTGGTCAGGCTGAGGTATTAAAGGCAAACTCCAGTGTGTCCAGAGAAGAATAATAAGGATGGGAGTGAGGGTTGAGGCAGACAGTAAACCATGTCATAGAAGGATCTGGGGGGGGGGGGGCAAGGAACAGGGTGGGGAGGACGATGAGAGGGAGGAATTAACAACTAAAACTGTTCAAAGATGGAATTGGTTGCCTCAGGGAAGATAGAGACATCCTATCCCAGAAAGCGTTTGAGCAGAGAAAGGATAGACCGGATCCATCAGGTAACTTGTAAAGGGACTCTAGGATGAAAGGCCATGTTGGACTGAGGACTCCAGAGAGCAGGCACTTAGTCTAATTCCAGGCCTTACTCATGGAGAGGCAGGGAAGGATTAATGAATGTCAATTGAATTGGATTGAATCACGTGTAAATAACAACTACCTGGTATTGTCCATGTGCCCAGCGGCTATTTAGTACAGCAATCAGACTAGCAATCTTTTCCTTCTCAGGGACCACTGTACCTTTGGCCTAGGTCAAGTGGCATTTCTTCCTGCCCCCTCCACTCTACCCCTGATCTATTGGGAAGAAAATCCAATCTGACTGCCTGCATGCCTGATAGAGGATTTCCCCACACATCTCCTCCCCTCACATCATGGCTACCAGAAGCCTACTTTCAGTTCAGTATGTTATTCTGATGTCTCTATCCAGCAGCTCACCTGGTAAAGATGCTGGGATGGTAGGGACAATAGAGAGAAGAACCCTCTGAAATCTGGTATCAAATAGTGACTTACAGTTATCCTTTCCACATCAATGGGTTAGGGGTGCAGTGCCCTGAAAATCTGAATAAAATCTTTTGGCCCTCCCTTCCTACAGAGAATTCTGAATTTTTTTTCTTTTTCTTTTATGGGGTGTTTACAGTACCTTACTATAATATTTGGGTTGATATATAATACTATACATATATTTTATGCATTTCTGAGTTTCTAAACTTTTTGTAAAATTGTAAAATTTGTATTGTAAAATTTGGGTTAATATTATACAATAGTATACATATATTTTATGCATTTCTGAGTTTCTACACTTTTTCTGTCATCTGCTGGCCTTCACAATTCATCTGCAGCATCTGAAAAGCTCCTAAAAATTCCCATTTAATTTCTCATGCCAGCCCAAGATGTATCAAAACTGTAATGGGGAAAGTTGAGATGTGGAAAGGATAACTAATTACCCCAGCCCACTGTTCCCAGCTTCCCTAATGTAATATTCTGAAGGCCTTCTTTCTCATTTCCTATCTCTGTTCTGGGCCCGGCACAGGTCTCCTAAGGAAATACCACTTAGAATGAGGGGAGGAAGGGAAACAGAGCTTACATCTGAAGCCCAGCTCAACCCTCCCTCAACACAGCACAGCTGCCAGCACAGCGGAGCCCTCAGGTGCAGTGGCCCCTCTTGTCTTTAGCAGCTACTAGTCATTGCTTGGTGTTTTAAGCTCTGCTTCCCCTCTCTTGGTCAAAGTGAGAACAAAGCTCCTCTTCTCTTTTTTAAGCTGAGAAAAAGATTGGGTTTTTCAAAAGGAGGATTATTGGGCCAATATTTTGAGAAACTATGAATTCCACAGTGGTACCTGTCTATATAGTCTTTGTTTTTTGGTGAGGCAATTGGGATTAAGTGACTTGCCCAGAGTCACGCAGCTAGTGAGTGTTATGTGTCTGAGACCGGATTTGAACTCAGGTTCTCCTGACTCCAGGGCCGGTGTTCTATCCACTGTGCCACCTAGCTGCCCCTCTATATAGTCTTAAAGCAGGGGTGGGGAACCTGCACCCTCGAGGCCACATGTGGCCCTCTAGGTCCTCAAGTGTGGCCCTTTGATTGAATGTTCACCAAACTTCACACAAAAGTTGTGTTCCCCCACTCTAGTCTTAGAGATTCTGAAGATCGGAGAGGTTGTGACTTGCCCAGCATCACACAGCTAGACAAATGTCTGAGGCAGGATTTAAACTGGGGTCTTCCTGACGATAAATGCAGCACACTGCGTGACAGCAAGCTGTCTCTTCCATTCCTGGGTATCTAACAGAAAATTAAAATAGACAAAATATAGATTATATTATGTAAATATAATTATTTTATATAAGCATATTTATATTTATATATTTATATATTAATACATATTTATATATTTACAAGTGTATATAAAATAAATGTTTATATAAATATTTATAAGTAATGTAAATTTTATAAATAAACAATAAATGAATAATAAAATAATAAATACGAATATAAAAGATACATAAATTAAAATAAACAAGTTATAAATGATTACCACCGAGGAGTTTACAGATTCTACCTCCTCCACGTCCCCAGATGGAAGTGAAGCTTCTCTCCTCCCTCAGGTCACTCTCTTTGACCTCTCCTAGGCCAGTAATCATATTCTGATGTATATTGACTTGTGTATACTCCCCACCCCCAGTTCTCTCCTTCTTTAGAGTTCCTTCTCGTAACAGGAGTAAGAGATGTCATTAGGGAAATGCAAGATGAAAAGAGAGGGGGAGTGGATCATGTGACCAGGGAGGATGAGAGATGATAGACAGACTACCCATTTGTTTCACTAGAAGTCTACCAGTGTCAGGACAATTTGAGGATGAACAGCTTGGACAGGCATGTGTGAATTGTGATTTGTATTGTTGGAGCGTAATGTCACAAATCCATGTAAGCACCTGAGTCTTTTTTTCTCTTCTCCCTGATTAATTGTTGACAGCCTGGGAGGGCTGTGGTCATTTCAATAGGAGTGATGGTGGCAGTCATTTCGTTGGCCTGTGGTGAGCAGAACCAGGAGCACTGAGTAAAAAGAACAAAGAGGCAGATTACAGCTGCTTGGCAGGAACATCTTCCTGACAGCACTCTCCCAAAGTGGCCGAGGATGTCACCTTGAGGGGTCTTCAAGCACAGGCTATATGCTGGGAGGGATGGCTTTTGTCCATAAGTTGGAGAAGATGTCCTTGAGTCCTTTCTGGTGATGCCTAGAGGACAATGATTATGTATCACTTCATATCTTCATACCTCAATTATTGAATTATATTGAATTGTACATAGGAAGTATATAATGCACGTTGAAATAAATCTCCTATTTGGGGGATAATTTCATAGAACATTAAAGGGGTCTTGCATTCTCAAAATCACCTGTGAGATAGAAGCTATTATCTCATTTTTCAGATGAGAAAACTGAGGCTGAGAGCAGTTAAGTGACTTACCAGCTATTAAGTGTCTGAGATGGGATTCAAACACAGGTCTTCTGGTCTCAGAGTCCAACACTATCCACTGTGCCACCTTGCTGCCTGAAATTTAGAATGTTAAAGCCAGGAGGCACCTTAAAACATAGACTGTTAGAGCTGGAAAGAAACTTACTGTCCAGCATCATAGAAGTAGAGAGAGACTGGTTGGGATTTGAACTCGTAGCTTCTGGCTCCGAGTTCAATGTATTCAGATCCGCTGGCACAGCTAAAGGAGCCGGGCCTCTGATCTCAGTATGAGAAAGCCCTTTTCTAGACCCAAAGATGCTTTCTCCCAGGGCAGTGCCTTTCCCCCTATGATATTATGTCTTCTCCTAGGGATGTTGATGAGAAATAATCTAGGAAAATGTTTGGGATGTCCTGTCGTCATTTCCTTCGAGATCTCTGCCTCCTTCAGCCTCACCTCTTCTGAGAAGACTGCCCCCAGCCCATGTTAAACATTCCCTAGCCTGCCTTTCAGCAGGCATTTTGGGGGAGTAGATAGAGCATTGAATAGAGCATCACGTCAGGAAGACCTGAATTTGAATCTCACCTTAGACACTTACTAGCTGTGTGACCCTGTGCAAGTCACTTAGCTGCTCTTGGTGTGCTCCCTCAGCTGTAATAAATTGTAACTACCTCTGAGGTTTATTTTAAATATTAAACTCATGCTGGTGGAGGGAGCTCCTATTCCTCACACCAACCCCATCAGGTACTGCATTTTGCTGTTATTACAGATGAGGAAAGTGAGCCCCAGAGGGGTGATAGCAGTCCAGCTTTCCTCCTCACCCTACTTTCGAAAAAGGAATATCTACTGTGCCATGTTAACCAAGGAGGACTCTTTAGGGGGGAGGGGAACAAGGATTTATATAAGCACCTACTATGTGTTTTTTACAAATATTATCTAATTTGATCCTTTAACATAAATCCTATCTCATAAATTGAATGCTATTATTCTTCTCATTTTAAAGTTGGGGAAACTGAGGTAAATAGCAATTAAGTGACTTGCCCAAAATCACATAGTGCCTGTGGTCAGATTGGAACTTGAGGCTTTCTGACTACAGACCCAGGGCTGTATCCATTATGGGCCCTAGCTGCGACTGGTGCTTCTTTCTACAAACAGCTCCCCCTTCCCTGCTCACATTTGCTCCCCAGCATCTGTGAGAAGCCATGATGGAGACATGGCTGATATCTCTCTCCTCATTTCTCCCTTTCACTCCTTCACTTGATGACTATGTCTAGCCTGTGAATCATCCTTACTGAGCTACCCGGGAAGCTAATGAAATGTCACACAGCTCTCTCACCTGGAGGGGGTGGGGCAGGGAGAAAGGATTAACTCGTTTACCCAGATGAAGGAGAAAATAAGCTTCTTTTCCCCGGTGCCCAGGGGGGAAATCGAGCCTTGCCTGGATGCCTCCAAATCCCCCTCCCTCATTACTCTTTGACATTTCTGGCCAAGGTGAAAGAGAAGGATGGGCTACTTCTAGTTGAAGGAGATGGGGAAACAGGCTCCACTACACAGATGTCCTTCAAGCAGAGCCCAGTCATGAAGGGGATCTGATTCTCAATCAGGTGTGGGTTGGACTAGGAAGCCTCGGAGCTCTGCAGTATTGTGGCTTCACTGAGCCAACTTCTGGCTCTCACTGCCTCTCCAAGATTATTGCAACAACTTCCTCCTAATTGGACACCACGATACCCTTCTCGTTCCCTCCCCTGTCACCCATTCTTCCTCACAGCTGCAAAACTAATATTCCTTACACACTGGTCTGCCCTTGTTCAAGAAGTTCCAATGTCTCCCTATTGCCCGTAGGATAAAATACACATTCCTCAGCCTGGTGTTGAATTCCCGTCACTGTCTGGCTGCAGTCTACCTTTCCTACTATTCCTCATCCTACTTTCTTTCAGCTGAGCTGGTCTCTTATCTCTTCCAAGGAGTCAGTATTGCATCTCAGCCTTGAATGGTCAGTCCTTCATGTCTGACTGCACTGCTGCCTCCCCTCCAGCTCTTAGAATCTCTGGCTTCCTTCAAGGCCCAGCTCAGTGCCACCTTCTGGGAAGCATTTCCTGATCTCCTTACCCATGTTTCTCCTAAAGTTCTTGTAATAATTTGTTTATGTGGTGGGCTACTCCAGTAGAAAGTCAATTCCTTGAGGCAGGCGCTGGTATGCTTTTATTTTGTTCTTGTATGCCTGTTCCTAGCTGAGTGTAGATACTATCCAGTAGGTATTCAGTAAATGCTTTTTGGAGTGACTTGAACTGATTCCACCTGTATCTGCAACTGCTCAAATCCTAGAACATCTCAAATAGAGGGGACCGTAAAAGGATTATTCAATCCTCTTATTTCAAAGGTAAGAAAACTCAGGCCCAGAGAGGGCAAGCGATTAACCCCTGACATGCACAGCTCTTCCTAGAATTGAATGTCTGTAGCTCTTTCTCATTGCTAGTTCAAGCAGAGTCCAGCATGATTTATATTATATTGATAAATATGGCAGTGAAAGAGAACTGAGAGGCTGATTGTAGGGATGCAATCAATACATAGATATTTATTGAAATGCCTTTACCTCATTTCCATTTCCCTTCATAGAAACCAGTCTACATGACACAGACCTTGATCTTCTCCTCCTCTTCTTCCCCTCTCCTTCCCTCCTTCTCCTTTCCCAGAACCCTCCTCTCCTCCTCCTCCTCCTTCTTTCCTGCTATTGTTTCCAAGATCCCCCCAGGGTCATTCTCAGACCTTCCACTCTCTCTCTCTCTCTCTCTCTCTCTCTCTCTCTCTCTCTCTCTCTCTCTCTCTCTCTCTGTCTTCCAGCAAAGATGCCCAGCAAGCTGGCAGACCTGAGCTCCTTTGCATTCTCTCCCCCTTCCTACTCTCCCCAAATTTTCCAGACCTGTGCCTGGTCCTGGTTTTCTGGTTATGTCTTAGACCCTCTTCCACACCCCACCCGCCCCCTCTCCCCTTTCCCGTATGCCTTGTTCATGCCTCCTTCCAGAAACCCAGGATTCAATATTCCTTTCCTCTCCCAGACCCCAGGTTTGTCATCTTCACTGCACTCTCCCCCAGCCCAAGCCCACCTCCTCTTCATCTTCCAACTTCCCCAACCTTAAAGCCATCCCAGGCTGCTTATTTCTCCAAACCTGGGAACACTCCTGAATATTTATGGTCCAGGTGAGTAGCAGTTGGCCTTGAAGGAGGGAGATTTGAGCTGAATTTCTGAAGGGCCTCCTCTCTCCCATCCAAGCCTCTAGGTACCCTGAAGATGTCCTGAAGTAACTTCCCTCTGACATGACATTCTCTCTGCCTCTCTGCAGTGTCAATAGAAGTCTTCTTCCCTTTCCTCAACTCCCTCCTCCAAGCCTTCAAGGACCAGGAAGAAAAGAAAAGGAAGGCCCACAGGCCAGGTAGTCCAAGTCATGTATTTCCCTCTAATGGGCTAACTGGAGAGAAGTTCGGAGAAAGCAGAGAAGCAGGATCCCTCCCCTGATAACTTTGCTGTTTTAGATTTGAGCTCACAGAACCATTTGGCAGAGGAGGGAGGCTCTGGCCTCCAGCCTGGTGGAAGGGCAGGAGAACTCAGCATCACTCTTCCAGACTCCAGCAGGGAGGCTGTTGGGGAAGGGCCAGGGGAAATGCTGAGCTTCCTCTGTCAGCCTGAACACCAGCTTCCTGAGAACTATATGAAGGATTCGGAAATGGAGATAACCTTAGCCATCAGAGAACCATGGACTTAGAACTGGAAGGGACAAGAGAGATTCCCTAGGGCAGGGATTCTTAACCTGGGGTCAACAGAGACCCAAGGGATCCATGAACTTGTATGGAAAAACTAATGCATCTGTAGTTCGATGCAATTGGCTTCCTTTGCAATCCTTTGTAGTTTATTTTGTGCATTTTAAAACGTTATTCTCAAGAGGGGTCCATAGGTTTCATTGGATTGCTGCCAAAGGGGTCCTTGGCACACAGAAGGCTGAGAAACACTGATCTCGTGCACTCTTCATCTTACATGAGAGGAAACAGGTCCAAGGGGGTACAACTAGCCCCACATTACACAGCTAGTCAGAGAGCTATGGGGGGGGAGGGGAGGACCACATTAATTGACTCCAAAGCCAGCCCTTTTCCAACTTAAGATTCAGAGTTTTAATGACTTGTTTAAGGTCACCAAGGAAGTAGGAAGAGAACCAAGTTTTGAGCCTTCGGTAGATAGATCAAGGGTAGGAAGGGATGGCAGAGCCATTTGGCTCCATCCCTTCATTTTAGAGGGGGAAAAAGTGAGTCCCGGGAACACCTTGCCCACAGCCACACAGATAAGTATCAGAGGCAAATTTGAACCCAAGTCATAGTGTCAAGAGTTAAAGCTGGAAGTCCTTGGAGGTCACTGAGCCTAACCCTCTCATTTAACAGAGAAGAAACAGAGGCTTAGAGAGCTTGTGACATACCCGTGGCTGCACAGGTCCTAAGTGTTAGAGGTAGGATTTGAATTCAAGTCTTTCTGGAATCTAAGTCCAGCACTCCATATACTCAGTGTACCATGTTGCCTCTAGATATGTCTCTCATCTTGAGTAATTTGTTACTCTATACCTCAGTTTCCCCAGATACATGAAAAAGAAGAGGGAAACAGATGTAGGTAAACGTGTGCGTGTGTGTGTGTGTGTGTGTGTGTGTTTGGGGGGGGGCATCATCCCAGGAAGGGTTTTAGTGAATTATCTCACATTACACCCTTTCAAGCATTCTATTTTTACTAGGGTGGACTTTTCATTCTTTCACTCTTTGGTCCGTTGACTGACCTCCTGCTTCTTACCCTTCCCCGTTCCTTTTCACCCTTTCCTGTTCATTTCCATGTGGTGAACATATCTTTTTCTTCAAGACCCAGCTGAGGCTTCCCTATCTCCATGAGGTTTTACCAGCTGTGCCACCCTGGAAAAGTCATTTAGTTACTTAGTGCCTCTCCAGTTCCTATGTGTCTTGCATACAGTAGGGACATAATAAATGTTTAATGGACCAAACTCAGAAGGAATCTCATTTCTTC